AAGTGTTTTATACATGCTTTATAAGTTTTTAGTCTCTTTTGACTTGGTCGACAAATTGTTGAGAGTTAGAAGCCACTACAGTCAATCTCGACCTGGAATGATTCGAGATGGTTTGGATTAGAGGGAGAGTAGGTGAATTAGTTGGTGTTTGGTAATAATTATGACGGTTAAGAAAGGAAAGTATCAAGAATGATATCAGGAAAATAGGAAGAGAGAAAAAAGAGGGTTCCGGGCAGAGGAGGTTGGTCGGGCTCAGATATGAAATTATTTTACGTTGATTGTTTGGGAAAATTTTGTATTAATGCCTGCCCTCTCTAGAGACTTTGCCATTATTTATAATAGACAAATCAGGTTAAACATCATTAATGTTATGTTTGGGCACATCGGGTCGTGTCCGGGCGCTTTGAGCGCATTTAATAATGGTTTCAGTGCATGTCTGCTTATGCCACTATGTTGGGACTTATTTGACTGATTGGGGACATGAGTGAGCAACTGAGATTTGTTTTCTTGACATACTTTATTGGATTCCCGTTGGGGTCAGGCTTTTGCTTATCGAGTCTAACAAGAAGTATATTTTGCCTATTAGTGGTAGTTGCGTGAAATTTAGTATTTCATCAAGTGCATTTATTGAGTGTCTTTTGAATCTATGTTAGGTTTAGGTATATACTTATTTATCTGAATGTGAATAGCTATGTGATTTAACTTTTTCATTTCTATTAAAATTATTTACACATTCTCTAACATCAAGTTGTACTTAAACCACACAATTCTAGGGACATGTGTTGGTGCTCCTACATTATAGCACAAAAATATGAACTTGGAGAAATTCTAAAAACATTAACTAAATGAATCTAAAATTCATTTCATTTTAAAATGAATTCCTGTGCAGAATTCATTGTCAAATGAATTCCTGTGTTTGGTATATGCTATTAGTGTTACAATCAAATTCTTGTCGATGTTCCTCATACTGCAAGAATTGGCGCCAAATAATATATGTAGAAGTAATTTTTTTAATAAATGAGAATAATTATGTCATGTTATCGTAATTTGTAAATACTTGTAGAATTCATTTGAAAATTCCATCTCAGTTCATCGGAATTGTTATAACTAGTTCTAATTCCGTAGAATTCAAAATTTAGAATTGAAATGAATTCATTTAAATACCAAACACAAAAAGATTTCATTTCAAAATGAATTTGTAAAAACTTATGAAATTCATTTATACCAAACGATATGTAATTAATAAATGCGAATGAAAGACAACGAGCGATTGTTCGCCAAAGAGAGGCATACATATGGTGAGTGAGAGTAACAACGGAGAATAATCGACGAAAAGTACAACCTCTTTGCAGGGATCAAATTACAGACGATTTATCTATCACTCACTAGCGTTTTGGTGATCTAGAAACGTAAAAGCAAAGGTTTTTAAGTTTTAAACTGCCGATTTTGACTACATTAGTAAGGAGGGTAAATTGCAAGTTTGGTCATTAGAATTACTATAAACGTTCATGTTTGTCACTAAGATTAATTTATTCCATTCATGGTCACTTAAATTAGTTTTGTAGTCCAAGTTTGGACACTGGCCATTAGTATCAGTTAGACTCCATTAACATCGTCAATTAATTGCTGACGTGGCTAACATAGAGGCTGAGTTGGCTGAATTTAACCCAAAAAAATTACAAATCCGACCTGCCACATCATTAACCCTGCCACGTCATAACCCCAATACAACCCAACCGATCTAAACCCGTGACCCACTGACACTTCCTCTTCTTCCTCTAACCCATCTCTGCCTCTTCTTCCACTAGTAGAATCTCCATCGTATTTTTGCAAGAGAAAGAATAAGTTCTTCCAACATGCAATTAGTTTAAGGGGTAAATTGATAACACTGAATTTGAACATGTTTTTACCCTTAATTTCTTAATTGTTTAGCTTGGTGTTTATCATACTTTGGTCTATTTTACGATAGCTTGTGTTCCTTTGTCACATTTCAGGTAGGGATGGCAATGGGGCGGGTTTGGGGCGGGTTTGCCTAAACCATCCCCATCCCCATCTTCAAATACCCAAACCCATACCCGCCCCATACCCATGCGGGAGAATGTTTTGCAAACCCATCCCCATACCCGTGGGTTTCGGGTACCCATGGGTAATACCCATCCCCGTACATCCAACATTATTATACCTAAAACTTACAAGAAAAGTTTTAATTATAACCATAAACAAACCTATTATATCACGAAGTCAACAAAACACGGTCATTTTCTAAATACGATTCAAAGAATATGATCCTAAAACATCCATTAATACATAATATAGACTATAATATTTTTTAAATTATTATGCTCTAACTCTTGATACATTTACTAAGTAATAATTAACTAACATAATTTTGTTGACAAGGGGGAAAGTGAAAGAGTGGAAGGAGAATTGAGAGAAATGAATTAGGTTTTGATTAAGGTGGTTACTCAATTGCATTTTTACTATTTATTTTCTCGAGTTATCATCATCATCATTGATAGATTACAATTTAATCCACGTATTTTTTGATATGTGAAGAAATTCTCTTGGTGGGGCGGGTATGGGTATGGGTATGGGGCGGGGAGGCTAAAACCATACCCGCCCCATACCCATCAAACCTTTTGCGGGTTTTACCCATACCCGTCCCATACCCGGTCAAAGCGGGGATTCCCCGCGTTGACTGGGTATGGGGCGGTCGGGTACCCGCGGCCATGGGTTTGATTGCCATCCCTAATTTCAGGTCCTAGCACGTAAAATGAAGCATAGGCGCAAGTTTCAAGTCAATCGGAGATCAATTGACGACCCGGGGGAAGAAACTCGGGCATGACCCAAGGAAGAATGGATTTCTATCTTATTTAATGGACAAATAATCATGTAATCTAGGCAGGTAAATAAAGAGGACGAAACTACAAGCGTCATGGATCAAACGACGACTGATTCGGAGTTCGGATGAGGGAGAAATGATCGAAAGACAGCAGCCTCTCCAAAGTTTTGGGATGACCTTTAAACGGAGGCAGAATACATTCCAGAAGTTACAACCTGAACCCCAAAGGTTACGGCTGTAACTTGGCTTCTGTGAGCTATATAAATGTGTTTTTGCGGATTCTGAAGGGGGGAGCTGGATTTTGGATCCCAAACACCCAAGGAACGAACCCTAGAGAGAGAGCACCTTGGGAACATTCTTGGAGCTATTTTGGAGTATTTCTTCCCCATTGGAGCTCGGGAAACAAGATTGGAGATGGAGATTGAAGATCTAGATCAGATTTCTGAATTCTCTCTCTTCTCTATGGAGTAACTCCCCTTCACTTAGTTTTGGAGGAACCCTAGATTTGTATGCTAGGAAGAGTTGTATGAACTCAAATTCCTGATTGATTGATGTTTTATATTCAGTTGAGGCATTGATTCAGAATTACTTGAGTCCTGATCAAACTTTTGTGATTCCTGCTTTAACCTAGAACGATAGTCTCTGCATAGGTTAATAGAGCAACCTCAATTGGAAGTAGTGGATCGATTGCTTTAGTCGAGAAATCGATTCAATGCTCTCTACTGAAATCAAAGCCAGTAGAGGAAGTTTTGTGTGTTTACCTTGGTTAGCTTACGTCGGTAGAGGTTAGTTGCCCGCCGGGTATTCGAACCGAGAGGGTCTGGATAACTTTAGTCAAGAGTCCATACCAGTTAAGAACTTTCCGCAGTATATCTGTCAACTGAATTGGAATGGGTGAATTACAACTTGGCCTAATTACAGACTAGGAGGAATCATACTTAAGTGAGTTCCCAACCTGTAATGAATACTTTTACTTAGTTTAGTTAGTAGAGTAGTTTAGTTAATCAATCCTTAATCTGGTTTGCTAGATAATGAATTGAAGCTGAGTAATAGTAACTCTAGAGACTCGTGAATTCAGTATTTATTATTTGTGCCACTATACTGCAGTCTCTTTCATTGGTTACATTTGGCCATTGTTAGGAGTTGTGTTTTAGCGAGTCAAGAATCGAGTTCGACGTCGAATAATTCAAGGGGGTAAATTATGCAGCTTCACCGGCGAGGGTATGATCTCCCGAACCCTTCTCCCCTCCCGTCGTGAGCCCGAAAATCATGCCTTTCATTTTTTCGATGGCGATCGAGGAAGATAAATGGAGAATGATGCAACCACCTTCATCATTCATCTCACTGAGTTTGTCGCCTTTGGTCAGCTTTAGGTGGGATGGTTATGAACAAGCGGAGAAGAACCCAGATGGTGAATAGTACAAGACCAGCTCCAAAACGGGCTAAAGTATAAGGGTACCATCGAGGTGAAGAGATTTTGGCTATGCTCTATCCTCTTATCTCCCCTCAATGGAAATCCAACTCCGTTGCTCTTCTGGTCTCTCCCTCTGGAGCCCAGGTATTGTGCTTTTCCCTCTTTATCTTCTATTGCTCTGGAGAAAGAGACCTACTCCACCGCTCTTCAGCTCCCTTGATCTGGAGATTTAGCCGAGATTTTTCCAGAAATAGCACCTTTAAAAAAAAATTACAAAACTAGCACTCTTCCAAAACTAATTACAAAACTAGCACCTATTTTAATGAATCGCACCTTAGAGGTGCGTTTTATAAATGAAACGCAGCCTTAGAATGCGTTTCCTTCATAAATCGCACCCCTAAGATGCGATTTCTATGGTAAAACGCATCCCCAAGATGCGTTCCAAATTTGGTCGCCAGCGACCTTCTGGATCGCACGATTAAGATGCGATCTGACGGGCTGCAGCATAGCCACGTCAGCAATCCGCGCGACTGAGTGTGGATCGCACTGGTGAGGTGCGATTTCTCGCCTGGAAAATTGGAGCGTCAGTTTTCAGCGCGTTCAACGCATCGGGACGCGGGGATCGCATCAGGGGAATGCGATTTGGCGTGGAGATCGCACCGGGGAGATGCGATTTCTACGGGATAAAATTACCCTACCGCCCCCGAGGGGTGCGATCTGTTGGGTATAAATACCCCCCCTCCCCCTCTCATTTCTTCACTCCACACAACCCATTCTCCTTCTCTCTCTAGATATAATCTCTCTAAACCCTCCCCTCTCAAAAGCCTAGGAAATAAAAGTCTGTTGGTTGCGGCTAAGTCCGATCTGCCATCAGAAAATATTTCTTAGGTTTTTTCCTCAAAAACCCGCCTAGCCGAGCCGAAGCTCTGTCCGAATTACGCCGAAAAAATGGCCGATTGGTGGCAAGGAGAAGGAGTTTTCGTCGATGAATTTCAAGCGGTATGTACTCATCATTCTGGTTTAATTTTTATTGTTGTTATAAGTTTTTTAATTAATCTATGTACTAACCTAGTTATTTTCTCGTAGGTTGGGGAGGGCGTCGATATATACAACCAAAGGTATTATCTCGAGCAAGGACCGGTGGATCCAACCGACTTGTACGACCAACCCAACCATCGGTCAAGGGATGTTTGGAACGATCACCCGGTACATACAATTCTTCACCATTGGTCCTTCTTTTATTTTGTTAATGTGCCTAGTGTAATATAAAATAAATTTATGTTTATTTTTTAATCGTGTTGGTGGTTTTCAATAATTTAATCGAATACATAGCGCCACTTACTTCGACTCTTTATAAAGAGATGCACGTCTAAGGAAATGGGGTTTTAAGCGATTATCATATCCTCCCATTACCTGGGAAAATCGGGTATTAAGAGATCCTCGGATCCCCCCTTTTTCTGTCAAAAAGACTGCGTTTCTAAGAAGATGTATACCTCTTCTAAGAGTCTAACGAGTGTTGCTTTGTATTCGATTAAATTATTTAAAACCACCAACACGATTAAATTATTTACCAAACATTTGAATATGTATGTTTCTACTTAAATTATTATTCATTAACAATGTTATTTATGTTAATTAATTAAATATGTTTGTTTTACGATAATATGTATGTACCTCTTTAAATTATTATTCATTGACAATGTTTTATGATAATATGAAATGTCTTTTTATGATAATAAAATTATGTTTTATGTTGCATAATTTAATTAAATTAATTTAGTTATACGAAAAAAAACCCTTACTAATAATAATTAACGTGTAAAATTTTCCTAGGAGTCACAAACAATAATTCGCTACAGGGGTACCACAAATGTGCTCCCATTCCACCCCGCTATCTTGCCATTTCTCAAACGGGCACGGTTAGACTCGATTAGGCATTTTAACGGCATCCAAATCGATCGTCAACTCATCACCGCATTAGCCGAGAGATGGAGAAAGGAGACCCATTGTTTCAACTTTAGAGAAGGGGAGGCCACCATCACGCTAAAGGATGTCGCCATCCTAACCCATCTGCCCATCGACGGCAAACCGGTGTGCGTGAGTGATCATCCCCCCGAGGATTGTGACGGTATGCCCGGTTGGCAGCATTTCATCCACAGTCATTTGGGAGTGAAAGTACCGGTGAAGGGGCACGTTGATGCGACCGATCGCATGCCACCATTGAGGAAACACCAAGTCTCAATTACATGGTTGACGAAGTATTTTAGAGATCATTACGAGAGTCATCCGCTTACGGAGGAAAGTCCGGAGGATGAGAAGGAGAGATATGCTCGTGTCTATCTCATAGGCATGATCGGAGGAGTGTTCTTCTCCAAGAAAGCAAGCAATCTCCTTAGTTGTGGATGGCTTAGGATCATCTTCAGTAGTTGGGAGGAGATGGGGGAGTATAGTTGGGCATCTGCATGCCTAGCTATCATCTACAACAACTTGTGCAATGCGTCGAACAAAGCCGTGAGGGAGGTTGGCGGCGCAATGTTCATCGTCCAATTTTGGGCTTGGGAGCATATGCCATGGCTTGCACCGGCCCAACGTCCAGACAGGGATTGGCCAATCGATCATCCCCTAAGAGGTGAAGCTTATGGAGCAAGGTAAATTCTCATACCCCATCATGTAGTCATAACACATTTTGTCTTGTGTTTTATCTTATTGTAGTTTCATTCTTGTCATATTAATAAGGTGGCTTGGACACACAACATGCGACAACCTTGCCCAACACAAGTTGGAGGAGTATCGGAGGAGGTTTGAGCGACTTTGGGAAGGAGAGGTAACTTCTATACAACGATCCATTTATATTTGTTTTTTCATGGGACTACATGTATTTTTCTAATTAATTAATCTTACGTTACTGATTTCTATCTTATAGATCGTCTTCGATCCATACCCGGAGAACATCGTTCAATGGCATCTCCAGCAATTCCCCGATCATATCGGGCAATGGTGCACGAGGGTTCCTCTAATTTGTTTTGGGACCGTGGAGTGGCACTTGCCGGATCGATGCCTCCGTTTGAAATGATGGTTCCAGTTGCTTTTGAAGTGTCGTATGCACCACCTTTGGGACCAATTCCAGGCTGGATCCAGGCCTAAGATGGCTGCTCTGATGCCGGCGTGCCGATCAGAGATTATTGTCAGGTTCGTCCTCTTGGTGACGTGGATTTGGATATGTCGGAAAAACCATCCATAGCTATCAGCATTCTCTCCCTCAACAATGGCGAAGGCTAAAGGAAAGACTTGTCTGTTTCCATCCGCCCCACTGGCAATCAGGAGAGTGCCCTTGTACTTGCCGGTAAGGAATGTACCATCCACAGTAATCACAGGGATACAAAAGCCAAAACCATCAATAGAAGGCTTGAATGCCCAAAACAGTCTGCGAAAATGGCGTTCGTTACCTGCCTCTGGGGGTTGTATCTCTTCATCTTGGTATCGAGGGGAGAACACAGTCCCAGGGTTAGACGCCTCCAATGCCAGTATTAGTCTGGGAAGGAATGCATATGATTCTTCCCAATCACCATAGACGGCGGCCATAGCTTTCTGCTTTCCATGCCACGCCTTCTTATAGTTAATCATATAACCAAAACGACTTGCAATGTCAGCGATTATGACTTTCACCTTCAGATCCGGTTCAGCCTCAATCAGATGCTTGATAGCCGCAGCAACCACCCTGGATTTCAACTGTCGATGGCCTTGGGAAGTTATGGATGACACACATGTGTGTGTGTTGACCGCACGGGATATGACCCAGTGGCCGTGTCTCTTGCTGTTGATGGCCCGAATCCTAACATTGCACCCCTCGTGATGATTACGGCATCTGACTATGAGCCTTTTGGTGTTGGAATGAGTTGTGTCCCATTCAAAATGCCGAGTCATTGCTTCAGTCTCAAGGGCGTGCCGCACATCCTTCTTCGAGCCAAATTGTTGGCCCTTCGTAAACCCAGTGAGTGGGCCCCATATTGGGACCTCTGGCGGCTCCATGTCGCTGTCGACCATCCAATTGTCGTCTGGAATGTGATTGTAGTAGGGGACTGGTACACGGTCAGGAGCCACATCACCATCATTATCTGAACCCGAATCTGGTGCTGAATCATCAGCACCTTCAAGAGGGTCTGAGCTGTCTGCACTGACGTTGTTTTCTCCTTCTTCATCAGAGGGGTCGCTGACTGGTCCTGGTGTGGCAGCCTCCGTCTGATCCTGCTCATGAAAGGCACCTTCATCAGCTCCATAATGGTAGTTGTGAAAACTACCGCTGCCTGTCAGGAAGTTGTACTGGGCTTGGTTGGGGATGTCCGGTTGAACTTCTTCTTCATATGACGAGAACGATTGATGATGGCCTGCACCTTGCCCTCCATCTTGGTACTGAAAATAGGAATGAGGATCATGGTAACTTTGGTAGGGATGATCGTCATATAATTCACCTCCACCATGAATACCAGATGTTTGACCGTGTCCAGAATGACCTCCAACACTAACGGCTGGCTCGGTGTAAACGAACATCTCGGCTTTGGCCAATTTGTTGGACCTCAAGAATTCGAGCATGGAATCTACGTCATCTTGAGTGGTTATGGTATATTCCTCATGCCACAATGACCCAGTTGCTCTGTTTGGGTATCGGTACACCATACGGTCTACCCTCCTCGTGCCATCCATGCAAGTAACGTCAGTGCATATTCGATGGAGGTCTTCAAGCTTCGGTCTGGTACCGACCGTTACTTTCTGAAAATTGCCACCGACGTAGGTGGCCCCCTTTCCGGTGTCTTCCGTGTAACCATTCCACCGTAAGCCAAGCAACAACTGACGGAATGCCATCTGCACACAAACAAACCATAGTTTTAGTTAATATCATAAAAATCACAAATCACAAATAACAATAAAAAGTAACACAAAATAAACTTACGAGTTAATGTTAATGCAATAAAAAGTCACACAAAATAAAGTTACGAGTTAATGTTAATGGCATAAAAAGTAACACAAAATAAACTTACGAGTTAATGTTAATGGCATAAAAAGTAACACAAAATAAACTTACGAGTTAATCTTAATGGCAAACACACTAAATAAATATAGATATACAACAGAAAAATGAAAGAGAATGCGAGGGAGAATGAGAGGTGTGAAGAGTCTGTTTTCCGGCAAGTCTTATATAGGGGAAAAAATTGTGAAAACCGCACCTCTAGGGTGCGGTTTTAGTCTGCCATGCAACCCTACGTACATAATTCTCTGCATGTCTGTGATGGTGTTGGAAAATAATTGACACGTAAACCGCACCTGGGGGGTGCGATCTACGTGGTGAAATCGCACCTTGCAGATGCGGTTCATGTTTGGAGAAATAAATCGCATCACCAAGGTGCGGTTTAGGTAGGTCAGGCCTAAACCGCACCTCGGCCATGCGTTTCATGTAGGCCAGACATGAAAACGCATGGGCAAGGTGCGATTTAGGCCCACCAAATTAGATCGCACTCTCAAGGTGCGATTTATGTGTAAAACGCACCTGGGGGATGCGGTTTATGTGTAAATCGCACCTGGAGGGTGCGGTCAATATAAAAGGGTGCTAGTTTTGTAAATATTTTTGACAGGGTGCTAGTTTTATAATTTTTTTTTTTAAAGGTGCTATTATTGGAAAAATCTCGATTTAGCCAGGGAGGAAGAGACCAACTTCGACGACCAGAATCTTTCTCGCTGCCATCCACCATCGTTGGAGGCTTGTTGTTTATCGGGATGGAGGGGTGACCTGGAATGCCAACACACGAGTCTAGCGATGTTTGTGATTTCGGATCCTAGGTCTGAACCGGATGCCCTGTTTTCATCTCTACCACGAGGTTGCATCAGAAGCTTGCTTCAAAAGAAAGTGGGGTACGAGGTAATTGGGGTATGTGGTAATTGGTGGGTTGGTGGTGATGGCGGGGTGGAGAGGTGGAGGAGAGGGAGGTAGAGAGGATTCCGAAGAGGGTGTCGTATGGGGTAATTGTGGGAGAATGTGGGTTGGTGTCTTGGTGGCGATGGCGACGGTGGAGGGTTGATGGAGGAGAGGGAGGTGGAGAGGAGCAGGGAGAAGGTGGGTTGGTATCTTGGTGGTGATGGTGGCAGTTGAGGGTTAATGGAGTAGAGGGAGGAAGAGGACGGTGGAGAGTTAATTTAGGTTTTCAGATTCTAGG